TGTCGGTATGCAGCCTATCTCTTGGAGGCTCGCGCTTTATAAATGGCGAGTGTAGGCGGTTCATGGCTGGAGGGGTTGACTCGTTTGAGTGGGCAGGCGGTCAAGGGTGATAATGGGATGATTTGCGCAGTGAGGCTCGGACCTCGTGTCTAAAAGGGGGGAGCGAGCGCCGACAGGAGACGCAATATTCTCCGTATTGAATGCAAGGGACATGCGATGCGCGACTCATTAAAATAATGAATCAGAAGAGCGGATATAGGCAGCTGAACACAGTCGGCCTATCACCCTCTAGCGGGTCCACCGATCCACACGGCCAGTGATGCTTGATAATTCCGAGTGTAAAAGAGGCAGGCGGATACTTTGCGGTTGGGTTGTGTTCATATATCTTGAATGCACAGTTTGAGGTCGAAGATGTGCCACAATGCCATCAAATACATTGAAATAGATTCAGCAATTGTGTTTGTGATGCTGAGGAGAGCGAATTTTGTGAGTCATTAGGATGCAAATTGGGAGGAAGGAAAGCGGCCTCACTGAACCTGATCTCTATCTGCCTCTATCTGCGTCGCTGATTCTCAATTACGCAGCGAAATGAGACTCGGGCTGTACGACGCTTCTCGCAGCTACGATTGGAATTCGGTCGGAGGTTTTGCTTGGAGAGCCGTGGTGCCGGCGACAACACTACCGAGTGTTATCAATCCAGAAACAAGGCCACGATAGCATTTTGGACAGTTTGGTGGGTATCTCTTGCACAGAATTGCACTCATTGATGGCCAATATAGCGCTCAGCACCAATGGGGCTTTGGTTGTTGACCTCATCGCCACTCATTTTCGAGGCAGCTACTGGGTCAACATCCATCCAACAAGTCTTCGCTTCGTTGAAGATCGGATGTTAATGTCGGTATCTTGATGCTCAGCTTTGAGAACATTACACGGAAAACAATGTCGATATTGGCTCGGTCCTTGCCTCGTTGGTTGCGCAGTGCCGGATTCCTGCTTCAACCCCAACTGAGCGAGTTTACAGCCCGCTGTAGACTCGACATATCAAGAGACGGACGTCCGTTTCATATGTCTACACAAGCCAGGAAGGCGGGCCAGAGTGACTCTTGGCAAGGAGTAGCGAGGTTCAAAATAGATTCAACGCATAGGACCTTCGCGAACGTCGTCCACAACACAAATACCAGCCTTTGATCCCAGCCGTACAATAAATCAGCAGACAATCAGATCTCGTTCGTTAATATTTAGAGAGTGATCCCCATTCGAATATTGGCATCAACAGGCTCTTGGACGACGAGTCTTTGACTTGCCAATTCACAACTTGCGTGGGACGTTCTAACCAAACTCGTAAATCCATCTCGTAGCTCTCTGTTGGATCGTGGCGGCCCTGCGCAGTCCCTGCGTACTGCTGTGTCGCCTTCTCCTGTGCAACCATTACTGAACCATGCATGGGTTGCCGAATACGCCACCCTATTAATACACGGAATTTGCACAAAAAACAATATGATATTTGATATAATAAATGAGCTCATATAGAGCCTAGTCTAATGTATATTGTATCGCTACAGTCACTCGAAAGTGGCACACAAAATAGACGATAACAACAACGAGAGAACACACTGACACGAGGTGAAAAAGATCAACACTGATCCTTGTGCGGTATATCTGAGTAAATAATGTAATCTCGGAGGACTGTACACCGGACTAGAGTAAGCTCGCCGTCCGAAACGCTGGGAGGGAGGTATCAAACATCGCTGGCCCGCGACAAGCGGAAGCTTGGTGTCTTGGTAAGTTGCCTTGGAGCATTGGCATTCCACTGTGCATCCACGTTTGACCGCCCAACGGGGGGAGAAGAACGTCCAGTCAGAAAACAGAGGTTCACTAGTGAGACGGAAGAGGACCGGCCGGTGGGACTCACCATACGTTACATTGCACTCTTGGATTTCGATGTTTACTTAGAGGCTCTGCAGCCGAATAACGCTTTCCACAGTTTGACCCGTCCCTGGGACTAGATACTGGACAGTCAGTCACCATATGGAACCGCCCGCATTGCCATTGCTGCCGCTAGGTAGGTGAAATGAGGCAGAGCTGCCGCTACCGTTTGCTCTGTGTCTGGGGTCTTGTAGAAGATGACGACTTGGGGAAGAGTGCCTCGTAGTCTAGGGAGAGTGGGTCGTGGTGGCCTCCTGCCGTGCTAGTGGGTACGTATACGGGACCGCCCGCCCCTACGACGGAGCCGGTGTATGTTGCATAGTACCCAGAGGAAGCGGTAGAGCTCCCGACTGGTGGTATAGTGATGGGCATGCCTTGAATGTGAGAGCTAGAGGATGCAAGTTGGCCATAAGCAAGGACACCAGGTGTAGTGGGATAACCATACGCTGGGCTGAGGTCCGAGTTAGCTTTACTAGTAAAACTCTACTGGCCCTGACTTACGTCACATAGGTTGGATAGTTACCTGGCACGACGTACGCTGTAGAGGGGTACGAGTCGTCGAGGTCTAGAGCAGACGTCAGCGCCAGTCGCGGCATAAAAAAAAGAGCAGTAGACGGACCATAAGAGGAGCTGGCTCGTGGGTCTTGCTCGTTGCGAGACATGGCGGGGGAGGGGAGGCTGGTCGAAGATGCTGAAGGTGAGGAAGCTAGGTGTGTGTCGGTATGCAGCCTATCTCTTGGAGGCTCGCGCTTTATAAATGGCGAGTGTAGGCGGTTCATGGCTGGAGGGGTT